GCCGTAACGCGCCGCGCTCTCCCCGCAGTGCTCATGTGCCGAGGGAAGGCGGTGCGCGACTTCACGGGGCCCGACTGCCGCTTCGTCAACTTCAAGAAGGGAGAGGCGGTCTACGTGTACTACAAGCTGATCGGGGAGTCCACCGAGCTCTGGGCTGGCAGCGTGAGTACCGCCGGGCACGCRCTGCCCTTGCCCATCTCTCCCTTGGGCCTCCTAGGGGAAAACTTCGGGGGTTAACAAATTACATCCCARGCGCTCTTTTGCCCCAAGGCTGGTGCACGCTTGCATCAGAACTTACAGCATGAAGTCCTGCAAAAATGGGCCTGCCCATATGTGATAAATATTGTTTCTTCTGCAAAACTTCCTTTGTGCTGAAAGCCCCATAACTGCTGCACCCTGGATCTGTCCAGCGGATGCTCCATTTCCCTTCCCAACCAGAGAAACTTAAGCCTGAGCCCCGAGCCCTGTGCACGAGCCTGGTAAAAGCTATTCAACACCCGTGTTTTGAATTTCTCATCATAATATTCAGCTGCTGTCGTCACCCTGTTATTTACATTGTATGCACGGCTGGAGGAGGGGAAAAGTAGTAAGACTAAAAACACTTAAGATAAATGGGATTTTAAAAGGTCTGTCTCTCTGCTTTAGTAGCTAACAGCAGCAGTTTGCAAAATAGTGGCATTAACCCAGTGATGCTCTTTAGGCAGTCTGAGAGGCTGATGTTAATGTGAAGGGAACATCTCTATGGCGAGAGCTTCTCTGGGTGGAAGCCTGCAGACTGTTTTCTGCAGAAAGCTCCTCTCGCGTCCTCTGAGATACCTGCGCTGAGATATCGGTGTTCCTGGGCTTCCCACAGAAACTCTGGTGCTCTGGAGGCTGCTCGTCCACCTCCTCCTTGCTCCCTCCCCCTGCTTTTTCCTCTCCTCTCCTTCCCTCACTCTTTGTATCCCAGTTGTTTCCTTCAGCCTCCTTTCTGGCTCTGCTGTGCCACCAGAGGCACTGCCTCGCACAGTGGTCCGGAGAGGCCACAGCCGCACCTGTGTGTGGTGGCACTGGTGGTTAGGGGAAAGCAGGATGTATCACTTTCCCCAGCCTGTTCAGGCAGGGCGTGCACAAGCCAGGCTCTCAGCAGGGGCAGAATCCAATTAAAACGACACAGAAGAGACCAGAAAACTGCAGCGTGCGGTTAAAGGAGAGTTTGTAATTGTATCATGCTGGTAGTTCCCTTCTGACACATACTGCGCCATAAATAATCCGGATAATTAGATGGTACAGGTTTTCACAGCTAACAGTTCTGCAGATGCAAAGTAGCAACATGGGGCCAATTTTGCATCTTCTGCTAACAAGGCCCCATGTTTTCTGTAACTGCTGAGTTAATACTYAGTTTAACCATGTTCCCTAACAGGGAGCTAATGCAACAGGTAAATGTGTGTCTCTGACTTTTAAAAGGACTTTTGCTTTGACTTTAGCAAATAATAGCTGAAGTTAGCAGGTCTGAAAGAATTGTGAAACACCTATTAATTTATGCATTTTGTGTTCAGAGTTTTCTGTGTTTCTCTTAGGACCATGAAGTACAGGTTAATCCCTCTCAGTCTGTGACTGTGGTCCCCCTGCCCTCCCCACACCATCACCAGTTCCACTGACTCCTCCTGCACTAATCCTGACTTTGCAACAAATGGGTTGCAAGTCCTGCAGGGGGCTGAGGCCCTGACGCTGCAGCCATGCACTTGCAGCTAGTGCAGAGCTCCTTCTCTCGTCAGTGTGACTTCACGTGCCGGCGTCAGCTGGGCAACGTGATTTTTGCAGACCAGCTGTGCCAGCTACGTGGAGTCCTGCAGCTGGGAAGAGCTGTAGTTGGCAAATTAGAAACAGGCTACCTTGTGAGATCTGCGTTCAAAGAAATTTCTGCGGAAGGCACGTTGCCTTCTGCTGCAGCCCCTTTGGGAATCTCGTCACGTGTCTGCACGTCTGTCTTCTGACCCCACTGCGTGGTTTTTTTTTTTTTTTTTTTTTCCTCCATTTGCCAAGGCTTTGAGGAAGAACATAGAGCATAATGAAAACTGTGAAATCTGGGGAGGACTCCAAGTTAACCACCTACAGATTCTGAAAACTGGAAGTCATTAAGTTGTATCTTTTATGGAAGGTTTATAGTCTGAAAATCTAYTGTAGGATTTTTCTATTATGCGTAAGCCTTGATTTTTTTTCCCCTTGCAGGTAGGGAGTTTAATGAGTTAACTGACTCATGGATGTTCTTAGCAGATGCTCTCAATGCCTCTCCTTCTAGGGTGGCAGTTAGGGGGAAGCGTATGTGAGAATCTTGAAATACTGGAAATTGGGACTTGTTCAAGGCAAGTTATAAATACAGGCTCAAATSCTGCAATTGATTTTGAGGAGCCATGGGAAATGCTATTGACCCAACAGGAGATGATCTGATGAGAAAGGGTTCATCAAAACCTAAAGCAGTTGTGGTTGGACTTTATTTGCCTTGACTTGCCAAGTTTGCTCTGCTCTATTCCAGCTCTTGTTGAGTTTTAACCCATGCCAGCAACTGTGCTTTAATATAACAGAATTTTTTTTTTTTTTTTTTATGAACCCAGTCTCATATACTTTGTAAAATATGGTTTGCAGAATTCCCATTGGGCTCTGTAAGTATTTTGCTTTTGAAAAATTTGTGCAACCTATCTGTAATATCTATTTTTTACATTATATGGCATGTTGTTTTTAGCAGAGCTTTCTAAACGTTGTGATTACTGCATTGTAAAATGTTGAGACAGTATTTTGAGTGATTTTTATATTACACTTTCCATGAATACCTCAAGTCCAAAAAACAACTCAGTTTTTCACAAAGACAAAATGATGGAACATATTTGGTACCTTCACTGTCTAGTGCTTCATGTCCTACTCTAAAACTAGACTCTTCCTTAAGCATTCAACTTTTATTGTGTCACTAAAACTTGATGACATAAACACACTTTCTTATACTGTTCTTCAGCACCCTGCCCTCATCTTTAGCAAGGCAAGGAGGTGGCACAAGGAGGCAAAGTGAGATACTTCAGGCAAAACAACTACGTCAGATAATTCAAGCAAAAACTGCTTTTTTTATAACAAATGCTTTAGCAAAGATGCCTCATGTTCTTGCTGCACAAGACAATTATTTTATCTTATGGTAAACAGCTAAGCCTTGTTTTTCATGATGCATAACTAAAGTACCTGTTTCTGGCCTTAAGGAAATGGACTTGAATTTTGATAACCTGTTTTTTTGGTGGGTTTTTTTTTTTTTTCCCTCCAAATCTCATACAGAACATAGCAGAAAGGAAAGAAAATTGAAGGTAACTTAAAGTAAAACCAGAGGACAGATTATGTCTGGAAGAGCCACAGAATCAGGGGATGGGTGCTTCTTGTTTTCTGAATAATACCAGTACTTAAAAGCAGCAAACCAAAACAGCTCCTTCCTTTGACCAATGTTTTGGCAGATTTGGCTACCTGTGATGAGAGCCCTTCTGGTGATGCTTGTGGTTTAGGGATGTGGGCTAGGATTAAAGCATTTCTGCATCTTGTTTACCCAAATCCCTGTTTTTTGTCACTAATGTATGCAGAGTGAGGGACTAGCTTCTACGTTTTGGTGACTCTGCAACAGCTGACTGCTGTTACAGGTGGAGACAGATGCTGTGCATACACATGTGCACACAAGTGTGTTTTTCCACCCTGGGCATTCTAGCTAGCGAGAGACTGAGGCTGCCCCTGAGTCATCTGAGGGGTTTATTTTTCTCCTTCTTTTACTTGGCATGCAATATTGTCTTTCCTCTATCATATACACGCAGAATAAAGAGCTTTTCCTTTCCTTGCTTAACTGTACAAAGCTGACATTTTTTTTCCCCTTACAGGATAGGAATTATAGGGAGATAAAATTTGGGACATACAGGTCCTGCACAGGTCATAAACCATGTAAGTTGCAAACTGGGTCACTGCAGAGGGCTTGTGCAGTCAGCAGCTTGGATTATACTAAATAGGTTCCAAATTGCRATGCCTAATTATAATGGTAGTCACGGAGATTAGTCTGTAAGGAGGCTACTTGAAAGCTTTGACTTTTGTTTTGCCAACATTATTGAAAACAGGAATAAGACTTCATAGAGAGAAACTGATCAATTTAGAATAAAACTAGTATGTAACCCAGGAACAAGCTTTTGATTTGACTTGTCTAGTTAAATTTCCATTCATGAGAATTGGTCTGCACTATAAAAACTGCACACGGGATCTCTTTTTCAGAAGAGACTAATTAGTTGTTGGGCTAGTGCATGTTTATAAAATGCGTATATGTGTGGGGAGGGAGTTAATGGTGTGTTTTTGTTTTGCTTTCTTTTTGTCTTCTCCCCTTCCTCCCTCTCCAACTAGATTTAGAAATCTTAAAATCTTAACTATGGAATGTAGGATTTGAACGCAAAAGGAAATCCCATAACATACCAGTACTTACTTTGCTTGCATAAACCAAAAATTTAATACCTCTTATTGATTGGAAAAGATTTTTCTCTTTTCTGTGCCATTGTAAACCCAGAAAACTTTGTCCAAGATTATCTGGTTTCACTTACAACAACGTAGCAAAACTTGGCTTCCCTCTTTTTTTTTTTCCGTAACTGTTTTTCTGTTTAATTTGGACTTTAACTGAGTGCTCCTCACAAATAAACTCTCCAAGAAAATTGGCAGTTTCCTTCCCCTTATAACAAAACCTTCAGGAAATGGGCAACGCTTTCTTCTTCTGGATGTTTTAGTCCTCTAGGAACTCTTTCCCCTTCTGGGTGTGTCTGCCATGCTCTATTTGCCTGGGTTATCTAATCTGCGTAGTGATAGCCTGTTATTAATATTGGCTTCTTGACAGCAGTTGTCAGAACTCTCAAGTGAGAGCGTTACTGTGTTGATCTTATCCGGTGAGTGATAAGAGATGTTCTTGTCTTGGGCTCTTTGCCTTGTCTCAGCTGTTGCCTTGCTCTTAAACAGTGACCCGTTCACCTGCAACTACCTGTTAGTCGCAGTAGTCACTAAAGATCAACAGTGTATTTGCAGATGGGGTGTGCTTTGCATACAGACCTTAGAATAGATTATTAACTTGAGTACAGTTTTATATTTCTCTAAAATATGTCCTAAGAAATACCTTTTCCTTAAAGTACAAAATGAGTATATTTACAGGCTACAGCATTAGTACTGTACAATAACAATTTATAGRGAGGTAAGTCTTACTAATCAATGATTCTCTTCTGCTTACTAACTAAGAAAATACTTGAGACAAATATGATATTAGGTAGAGAACAGATGAGCAGGTAAAAGCCCATGTGAGCCAGAATGCTTGGTTTTCATTCCCAGCTTTCTTAATAACTTGTTATATAAAGTTAAACTTTAAGCAGGAATAATAAAACTTCCTAGCCTCATAACACTGTTGTAAAACAGCCATACAAGAGAATTCTAGGTATCGGTAACTATTTTCTTCTCTTTGTTGCACTGAACTTCATCTAGAATTGCTTGAGTTTGATGTGTTTGTGATTAGTGTCTGTAATTAGGACTCTACCATGTACTTCGTTCATAATTTCACGATTGCAGAAACTTCTTTAAATCTTGTTTATTTGATTTTGTTTTCTGGCAGGTTGGAAGTGATTTTGGATATTTTCCAAAGGATTTACTTGAAATAAATCATAATTATACCAATGAGGAGCTAGAATTACCAACAGATGTAAGTTTTGGTTATTTTTAATTAAGTTTTTTACTACTTCCTACCTTTAGCATTCAGTAAAATTGCTGTGGAGGAGTACCAGTAAACCTTAGTTATTTTTATGTGAGTTAGCAACTACATAGGTGTGCATGTGCATATACATGTCAGGGAGGTGGAATGATTGTGCAGATGTAGATGGGTGTGTAAGCATCAGTCTATAATGTCGACACTTTGGGTTTTTTCCCTTTTTTCTTTTTTGAATGTTATGCATTTCTTCTAACAAACCTTTTTGAATTCCTCTAATTATCGAGTTGTAGAAATGTTGCTAGCTGGCTTGCACTGTTGCATTTTTGCATTTAAAGTTTGTTTCCAAAATTCAGAAATGAAGTACTGTCAGAAAAAAAATGAAATCTAGACTATTAGCACTCTGATTCTGGAGCCTGTCATCCTCATATAAATGGTTTTCGTGCTCATAGCTAGTAACTCGAGAACTGTGGAAATAAGGCGTGCTTGCAGAGACAGGCCTAGACATTGAAACTGAGCTTTGTGGCTTGCTGTGGCTCCTAATTTAGGTTTTCAGAAATTGTGTAATGGGCATTCCTACTTGAAGGAGTCTCTTATTGGAGGAGGGACCCCTAATGAAGACCAGAGCAAATAAGCTCAGTGAAGTTGGTTTCTTTCTATACAATTGAGAACTCCTTCTTGTCATTTAGTACTGGAATTTTCCTAGTTCAGAGATGCACGTGATAGTATTATAATATTATCAACTCCACTGCCKATTTCAAATTTGTTCTTCACTAGGAGTTCTGAGTGTAGGCAAAGCATGAGCTTTTTAATTTTTGTATGAGTTCTTGGGCAAATTGTTCACTGATTTCAATGACAGTTTTGGTTAAAGYCCCAAGGAGTTGATCTGGCTCAATTAATAATGTTAACTTCTCTGCTGTATTTATCTCTGACAGACCAAATGAATGGGGCCTCATCTCTGTAATAAAAATAATAATAATTTTTGTGACTGACAACTTTTTTTTTTCTCCAGGAAACAGATTTTGTTTGTTTTGATGACGGAAAGGATGATTTTGACAATTATAATGTAGATGAACTTTTGAAGTCATTGGGACAGCCTATAACAAATGAAGGTGAAACAGAATCAAGTGATCCAGAGACAAAACCAACTGAAGGAATCAGAAGAAATGAAGAGGTGGAAGAGGTTGATCCAATRAAGTCCCTTGATGCTGTGGAGACAGACAATCTTGAGCTAAGCACAGAAGGAGATGAGGAAGTCCTCTCTTTGCCAGAKGAAAGAGACAGTCCTTTTACAGAAGGAACTGAAAATACTGGGGGAGGCCCCAATGTAAATAGCCACGAAGGCAACTCTCAGGGAGATCACATTGCACATAAGCACTTAAAAGGAATGCTACATGCAAAACTAAAAGGGCTAGAAAGTGAAAGTACCAAAAACACTAGTATTCCTCAGGATGAAACCACTCAACTCGAAAAAGAGAGTGAAGAAATTGATGCCTATACGCTTTTAAACAGAGAGCTGTCTGTGAACTTGAAAACCAAATTTGGCTCCACTGCTGATGCGATTGTATCTGATGATGAGGTGACTAGGCTTGTTACATCACTAGAAGATGATTTTAATGAAGATTTGAGCACTGAGGAGGAAGAAAACTTTGTAGATCAGTCTGAGGAAATCCCTTTGCTGTCATTTACGGCAGATGACAAAATTGCATCCCTAGCAGATTCAGAAGCTGATGAGCCACTAAGTAAACTTGATGAAAATGAGAAGGGTGCTACAGAGCTAAATAACCAAAAAGATGATAAGCAAGAATATGGTTCAGATGCATTCATTTTTGAGCATGCCTTCAGTAACAGCAGGAGGTCAGGTGACAATATAAATGCAGATAGGTCTGAATCTGTAGAAGCAAAGGAGAAGCAGGATGAGGTAATGCTAATTAGTAAAAACAAAGTAGCAGCAACGTCTCAACTGGAGGATCTCTCCAAAGAACGCCTTAAAAATGAACCTGTAGCTGTAGGTGATCCTAGTTCAAAGGAAAAACCAAATAAAACTGAACAGTTTGAAGAACAGCTCATGGATGGTGGGACTGAAACACGTACTAATGAGCTGAAGAGTACATCTGTGCCTGATTCCCATGTTTTCCCTAGTCCGGGAGATGAATCATCTTCTAAAGGAAACCAAGATGCTTTAAAACCGTCCCTTGGTGGCATGACTGGAAGTCTAGAAGGAGTGCCGCTTGCTGACACAACTGAAGAGGATGAAAGCATTGAGGATAAGAACCTGGAGGGGGACATCTTGGAAAGTGATTTAAAGCAAAAAATGTTATGGGAGAAAAGGGAGAAGGGAAGAGCAGAGGCAAAACCTTCTGTTGATGTTCCAGCCAAACCAATGGAAGAGGTACAAAATGCATCTCAAAATAACTTGAGAGACACTAACCTCTTAAAAGACAAAACAGAGCATGGAATGCCTGCCGCGGAGAAAGAAGTTCTGAGTCATGAAGAAGATTTAAAACAAGTAGGGGAGGCTGATCAAGAAAACCCAAAAAGCACCCCTTTTAAAGAACCTAAAATAAAAAGCATAAACATGAAAGTAAGCCCTACTGGGGAAGGAGACCCAAACCATCAGCATGAGAGCAGGGAAGCAGTGAACGGATCCAGGCCAGAGGAAAATGAGACAGAGTATTCAGAGGAGGATGTGARAGAAGAGTTTTCAAGAAATCTTGGCAAGGTGACAATACTTGAAGAAAGTATTCAGGAAAGCTCCCCCGAAGAAAAACCAAAAGGCACCACACAGAATACTAATAGAGAGAATTTACCTCAGCAAGGCATTAATCATACTGAGGATGGAGGTTCAGAGGGTGATCTTGGCACACATTTAGCTACAGAAAAAATCCTAAGAGAAGAATTCCAGTCTGAATATTCGAATGCTGAAGAAGATCCTGATCTGAAACAAGCAGAGGAAGAGCTCTTGGAAGATGAGAACGCTGCAAGTGCAAAGTTGTCACAAGCAAGACTTGCAATTGTACAGGGTAATAAACTAAATATTAGAAGTAAAAAACTTGAATTAGAGTCACTAAGTGAAGCTGTTTCAGGAGCTGCTAATTCTAATTCCAAAACTGATGAAACAGGAGAGGAAATAAATGCATTTTCTGAAGAAGTAAAGAAAATGATCAGCATGGAAGATACAACTGAGGATGACGTACCAGTCAGTAATGATTCTGTTCTGGATGAAAGGGAACATGCCAAGGAAGATGATGATGATGATGATGAGTCTTCTGAAGCCAAAGAACCATCAGCTCTGGAAGAACATAACTTCAAATCTTCTGAAACAGAAGACAGTGATGACTTTAACCGAAGACAAGAACCTCTCCCAGAGGCTGTTTCACAAAAAGACTCAAAGGAGATGCAAAATTTAGAGCGCACAAGGAATGATCACCAGCAGTCTGCACATCTCCCCAACCCTGCTGATGTCTCAGCRACCACAAATGATACTGGCATATCAGACTACAGTGAATCTGTGAAACGACTCGCAATATTGAGGGAATTCCTCGATGAAAAGCGGATAGCACGTTTACAAAAGTACCTCGGGCTCCATGAGGTGGTTAGAATAGAAGGCATGTTTCAGGACATGAAGATAGAGTTGGAGCTTGCTCGTAAAGCAAGTCATAATAACGAAGAAATAGAAAAAGCTTTGGACCAGATACTTGAATTTTCAGAATCTAGTATTATGGATGTTGTAGGAAAAGTTCTAGATTCCAGAGTGGCAGAAAATAAAGAGGAGGTGGTGAAAGAGATGGATTTGTATGATGAGGAGAGTGCACTGATGGATGATATTCAAGAATTAATATATTCTTTAAGGAGTAAATACTCATCTGCTAGTGAGAGTGTCCCACTTGCAGGTGTTCCAGAACCAGAACAGGAAGAAGACCAGCTCTATCCTGAAGGTAACACGTTAAAATGCATGCGTGATGGCTGCTCTGGAGAGTTTGAGAGAACTTTGTGTTCTGTGTTTGCAGAGGAAAAAAAGTAGTAGTTAATGAATAGATGAAGTAAAGCCCTATCCCRTGTGAAGTTATGGAACCTTGAGAAGCTTTAAGAAGGAGCTGAGGAAGTGGAACTGGAAGGGGTCCTGTAGAATCATTGGAATTTGGCTTACTTAAAATGCAATTTTTGCCATGATGATGGGTGGCCTCAACATGAAAATGTTGAGCTTTGTAYGTCTGTTCTTAGGGTTGGGCTCTTCATAAAGAAGTGGAATCAGAGGACAGATATGGCTAGAGGGAGACACTCAGGCCTCTTCCTTCCCTACCTTCCACAAAATAGGGATTCACATCTGTAGCATGGACTGAATYTTCTGTATCACCTAGAGAGCCCTCCATCCCCCTCACCCTCCCCCTACACCCCTCAACTAGCACCTAAGATGTGCAGTGGCTAATACAAAATTCAGGCACCTAAATGTACACCTAAAATCTCAGGTGTCACTATCATCAACACTGAAAAAAATCTCCATATCTGGTCAGTAGTTGCATAAATTCCATATCAACAGTTAACTGGATGTCACTGAATGAAACTTGGCTAAGAATATTTCAGAAGCAACATACAAGCTGGTGCTAAGAAGCGTCAGCAAACCTTTGTTAAATGCAGTGTTGCACTGGAGACAGCTCCTAGTAGGAAATACATATCAATTCAATGCTAAATTCATGATTGTTTTTTCTTCTGATTGTCATAGATGCTGCCAAAGAAGCTGAAGATGACAGTGTTCCCTTCAGGAACCCAAATGCCATTGATCAGAGTGATGAGGTATTTCTGCACCTTGAAGACAAGAGGACAGAGCTGGCCATGGAAGAGGATGAGCAAGGTGCTGCCATCCCACCCAAGCAGGAAGAGGTCAGCCCTGCGGATAGTGGAGATGCTCAGGAAGGGAATGACGAGGAAAGATTTCAGCCAGCAGATACTTCCTTTGAGTCACTTGATTCCAAACAAAGCACCAAGGAAGATATTGTGGCAGGTAAGCTTTTGGAACTTGCTGCTTTCCACTTTTGCTTTTAAAGATGAGTATGGCTGACTTTCTTTTATACAAATGTCAAGTTTTTCACTCGGGTTTTTATTATATGCACTATAATTCTAAYGTTTTTCTGTAATCCAAGACAGTCCCTAGTGGCAGTATACTGTAGCCTATACTGATCTCAACAGACATTTTTTTCYGCTATCTCTTTGCACTAGAAAAGTTGTCTTGTGAGCATCATCAGAGTCGTAGGGTGCTGGATTGTGTCTCTCAATGGCAGTGCACTTAGGAAGGAAGAGGGGGAGGGAAGAGAACACTAGACTGATAGACACCCTGTCCCTTACAGGAGGGACTGCTCTAGCAGGTAGGATACAGAATCACAATCTATCTCTTCTTGCTCTCTTTTTAACCTGCGACTCTGGAATATATTCCTGCCAAAAATAGTTTTCCAGGAAAGGTGGAGTGTAGCACTACTCAAGCAATTCTGTAGTTTCTGGCTAGGGTATTTATTGGAATAGGAAAAATTGGTTTGACTCGATTCCTCCAAAGATAGAATTAAACTCAGGTATCCTTCCTCTGGAGGTTCATGTGTTGAGCTGTGCTGAGTGGTCACTATGAGAGTGAGAGAGGAATGTTCCTATCACTGCCATTGCCTTCAGTTCTTCTTTGGCATGAAACTGGCTTATCTCCCCCTTTTTACATGGTCATCTCTGATCTTTGTCCACTTGAATAGGTTTCACCAGGGATTCAGACAACGTGCAGGCATATCTTGGTAGCCTGTGTATCCTACTGAGCTATAGTACCTCTGTTGCCATAGGCAAGCAATTCTGAGCAAGTTTAACTATTAGGGGAAACTTTATGCTGAATGTAAGGGTACTTACTGAATCTTGAATGGCCAGTGGGTTACCTGAGCGTGGTTAAGTAGTCAGTTGTTCTTCCTGGTAACATCAGATTGCCTGCGGTTAAACRTTCTTTGCCAGCAATCCCGGTGCCGCGTGCTGGAAACGCTGGGGAGGASCCGGCGTGGGTGCCTGTGGGGCTGTTCACAGCATGAGGCTGCAGGCCGGGCCGCTCGCAGCCGCTAACGAGACCTTGCGGGAAGGGGGGCGGGCTCCGCACGGGGCAGGACGAGACGAGCGCGGGCTGATGGCCGCTCTCCCTCTGCCCGCAGGAGCCGCCGCYCGGGGAGCGCTCGGCGAGGCGCTGGCGGCGGCCACGGAGGAGCTGCGGCCGCTCGCCCAGCAGGTGAGTGCCGGCCGGGGGCGGGGAAGCCAGGCGGCCGTTACGGCCGTTGCGACCGTTGCCGCTTCCGGGTGGCGGCGGCGCGCGGCGATGACGCGGCGGGGCTCGCTGCGGGCTGACGTGTTCTTGGCGGTTGGGCTCGCGCCGCAGGTGCCGGGGCCGGCGCGGCCGCCATGGAGCCCGCGGGCGCCACGGCGCCGCAGGTGAGCGGGGTGGGGGCCGCGCGCCGGCTGCGGCCGTTGGGAGCCGTTAACGGCCCCYGGGGGGAGGGGCGCGCGGAGCCTGCGCGGCTGCTGCTCCGTGTCCCCGGGTGAGGCAGCCCCGCGCCCAGCCCGGCCGCGGGGCGCTGTAAATCCCGAGCGGCTGCAAACGCTGTAAACGGGGCAGCTCCCGCACCCCGGCGCTTCCCTTCGGGGCCAGGGTGTTTGCCACCATGAGGGCATCCTCCTAGGCTTGACAGCCCCAGCTTTGGCACGGGGTGGGGGGGTGTCCAAGCTGAATGTTTTCCAGGGCTCCGTGAATTTTGATCTCTACRGAGGGAGCAGGTTCCGTGACTTGTGCCGGTTTATTGCCAAGCACCATTTTCGTGTCTTTGTAAACTACACCAGCTACAGGCACCTTTTTCAGCCAGTCAGTGGTTTATGGTCCTCAGAGAGAGACTTACGAAGATAAAACTTGAGGAAATAGTTGAGTGTTTTCACTGAATTCTTTTCAACATCCCAATGTGAAGCTATTCTATTTTTTCTGTCAGAATTTTATTTTGAGATGAATCTCGTAACTGCTAGTGCTTTCTGAAAACACAAAACGTGCCCATCAGCTTGTTTTGACATAACAGCCTGTTTTCCTGCCTGCAGAGTGTTACTGGCAGGTGTCTTTCAGATATTCAGACTTTTGAGGAGTAGTGCAAGCATCACACTRCTTCAGGGTTTGCTTTGCTTTCGATTTTCAGGTTATAGAAAAGCTGCCCTATTTCTGCTCTTTCTTCGTATGTTTTTACTGCATTCTGAAACAGACCCAGGGACATTGTAGATGGTTACCTGATTTATCAGAGCAGGAAAAGCATTTCTCAGACTATGCATTTTCACACGAGTATTTAATGAAAACATATTTGACATAGTTGTCTATGTTGTTGGGTTTTAGTTGATTGCTACCCTGCCTGAGGATATCCGTCCTGGGCCTACTTTCCATGGGCTTCCGTGGGAGCCTGTCATCATCACTGCCTTAGTGGGAATTGCCACACTTGCTATAATCTTCTGGAGAACCTGCCTTTCCGTGAGTACCCTTCATGCTTGCAATACTGTGGATACTTAACCCMCTGAGTGTGTGTGTGTGTGTTTGTTTTTGTTTTGGTATGACTGGAAATATTTCAGAACTGCTGGTGTTAAAGCAACACCTGAAGTTATTTTGTTCAAGTAAAGAAAGTATTCCCTTTAGCTGTTAATTGAAGATTTAATAAGAGGCAGTTCCCCAAAATAAGACTGTGATGTAAACCTAGGAGGCTGTAAAAGGGTCAGTGTTTCTGGGAGATGAGATGCCTTCTACGTGCCTGGCCTTGTTGCTAACAGTCTCCAAAACAAAGCAGTTAACTCTCCTGCCCCGTGTTGTTCAGTTGCTTTTAACTTCAAATGCCACGTCTGGAAACCTAAAAACCTGATTTTTGGTCTGACTGCAGAGTCACTTCCCTAATCTATTTCTCAGTTTGCACTTGTTCCTCTCTTCACTACACAAATAACTTTGTTTGAGAAAAACACTGCCTCTCAATCAGTATATTTCTTCAGGAATGGATATATGGGAGGCAGAAAAAAGATTATTTTTCAGCTGTCAAGTTCCTTGATGATACACCCTTGAAATCTATGAAATACTTTTTTTTCCTTTATAAAAATATATTACAACTAAATATTAATCTGAAACAACACTGATGTGTTTTTATTGCTCCAAATTTGATATTTAATGAACTAGATCAGTTTCAAATGCAAAATACTGTTAGTATGTAGCAGAAGGAAAAACAGCTTCTGCGTTTCTTTAATGGTGTTTATTTTGAAATTAGCAATGGTCAGGCAAATTATACCTTTCTTTACATGGTGAATCAGAAGTGGGATACGAGTATCTCTTATGTGTGAAAGTTCATGATTATTGCCTGATTAAAAATGATTTAGTTTTCTTTCTGGCAAGTTGGATGTGTTCTGTTATTTGTGTCCTTTTAATAGGAGAGTAATCAGACCTTTACGTGGGTCCAAAGATAGGGCATTAACCTAGAAGCTTTTATTAGAAAACCGCTTAAGCTTGTTTGTGTGGTGTTATTCAACACCCTTGGCAGTAACGGGTGTGCGAGACTTTACATCCATGTGTGTTTATGCAATGATGTCTTTTTCTGGTAGGAAAAATAAATATTTCCAGTTATCACTTTACAGCTAATTACTTGCTTTTTTTTTTTTTTTTTTTCCTTCTGTAGGTAAAGAGTAGAATGTATCAAGGTGAGTTTGTACTTTGTAGTAGACTTAATGCTTATGTTTATGCTTATAAAAATTCTGAAGATTTTTCTGAGGGCCAGGTTGTTAAGCTTCTCTGCTTTTCCAGGACAATGTTAAATGGAAGGTAAAGCCTTACATGGTAATGTAAGGCCTATAGATGATACTCATTTGAAACTGCCAATGTGGGGTGTGCTTGGCCAACAAGAAGTGATGCAACCCACATCTGCAAATTAAAGATAAGGACAAGGGAAAGCCCCACCCTATGAAACTAGCATGTGATTCTGGTAGACCACGAAGGTGGTAGTGGAACAGAGCTTGTTTTGATTTTCTGACTACAGAAAAAAGCAGTGAAACTGCTTTTGCTTGTTCCTTCTCACAAAAGCGGTATTTAATACTTCTTGCCTTTTCTGATGAGAGGAGCCTGATACGGACTGCTGTGCAATTTGCAAAGAGACCTTCTGAAAACATAAAAACATGCTTTTGGATATCACACAGCTTTTCACAAGAGCATTTCTCCACTTTCAAATATATAAAATTACAGTGTTCTGCACAGCTCTGCATTTAAACTGCTGAGAACAATCTTCAATCTCTCAGCAGTTGTTTTTTGCCTCTCCCCTCAGCACAGCAGAAAGGGATGGGAATCCTGCAGTACAAAAACCCTCACGTGGGAGAGGAAGGAGGAGTAGCAGTTGTAGTTACAACCTGTAGGATGCGATTGGAACAACCGGTGCTTCCTGTTGTTTGAGCTGCAGGATTAGCTGTGAGGCAGATGAGGCCTGTGATGGTCAAATATGGGGGTGATTTAGGACTTGAAAAAGAGTAACAATTGGATGTTTCTTCTAAATTAATATGCAAAAAAGATACGTTAAAGTAATGTAAAGTTTATCAAGCATTGATCCCTACAGATTGGTCAGCAAGCTGTTTAGATTGAGAAGCACACATGTGTCCCAGAAAACTGCTGCTGATTGCAGCCCTTTGTGAAATCCAAAAATAGTGTCCATGGGAGAAGCATGCAGCTCTTTGAGGCTCGCTGTTGCCATCTGCTAGCTGGCAGCATCCTTCTGTTCACAGTAGATCTTTGAAAGCTTTTGTCCTATTCCTTGCTGACCATAGTTTTGGTTTCAGTACAGCAGAAAATTGTTTGGAAGGTGTTGGCATCTCCATGGGTTTCTGTGAGTGCTTTTGCATACTCACTGGCAGTTCTTCCTTGAACGTAGGTCATATGTGGGTATTGTAAGCATCCYGGTCTGCTCTGCCTTGTGACTGGCTTCTGTGAAGAAGATGCCAGAGCTGTAGGCTTTGTGTTAGTCTTTGCCTCTGAACTGTTTTGAGTCCTAGCTTTAAATGAAAGCTCAAGATGCTTAAACTTCTGCAGAAGGGACTGGCTGCCAGGGAACKGACAGTATCCTAATCTGTGCTTTTGTCCCGACTTGAAAATGTTCCCTAAAGTGGTAGTAATAATAGCTATGACTTTTTTTTTTTTTTTTTCAGGAAGTACAATTACTAAAAACTTTCTTTTTTCTTCCTAGTGACTGAGAAGCAACTTGCTGAAAAGATTAAAAACCTTCTACAAGAAAAAACAGAAATCCTAGAAAAGATATCAGAGTATGATAAGAAGGTATTGTTCTGTGTGCTTGTCGTGCTTTTCAGTTTCTAACGTTTGGTTTAATGACAGTCAGTACAACAGCTTATATCTTTTAGTTTTCTGTTTCTGTTGTTTACATTGATATTACATTGATAGTTTTCTCAGTTTGGTTTGTTTTTGTACTTAGATAAAGGAAGCAAAGGAATCTGTGAAAGTTGCCCAAGAACAAAAAGACATGGTATCAGATGAAGCTGCAGAACTTAAGGTAATGTGCGGTTCAYTTTTGTGTGGAAAATAGATGTTAATAAAGTAACTTTATTGAGTCAGTCATGCCCTTCATTTTTAGGATACTGTCAAAGGGCTGGAAGAAACAAATCGTGTGCTGGATGACAAAGTAAAAAGCCTGCACAAGTTGCTTGAAACAGAGAGAAAACAGAATGAGAAGAAACAGAACAAGGTGAGAGCAATCACACTGATGTCTTGTATAGTCCTTAACTTATATGCCTTAAAGCTGTTTGCTCTGATGGGTGAACAGATAGTTGTGGAGCAAACAAGATGAGCCACTTCAGAAGTAGAACTGTCAATCACCTCCTTGAACTTGGGGTGAACTGAAATTCATGCTGCTTCTGTAGGATGTTTATGAATTTCTGTGATTGTGTGCCTTCACATGCAAACAGATATACTCCAGTCTTGGACTCGTCTAGTACTTCCTACCAAAGCCAGGAAGTCCCTTAAAAATATGAACTGTAGTTCTCAGTTTGTTATGAGCAATTTTATTTTGCTAAGAAGAAGCCCCTAGTTCTGTAGTAAGAATGGGACTCTCTAGGTTGCCCTTGTTGTCCATTGGACTTCCATTCCTCCGTTTTGTTCTAATACAGGTAAGTTCCAACAAGTCTTGTGGTGTTGTTTTGATCAAAGGTTATTGCTAATGACAGCAGCACGTGGCACTTTCGTTCTAGACTGTGCAGATGCACATGGAACTCTCCCAGCCACAGGCAGGCCAAGGCTTACGGGAAGTTGATTCTAACCTCCAGTTTGCTTTTATTTTCTGCCTTGCTGATACAGCAGCACTGTGGTGCTTCTAGTCCAGTGATTGTTCCAAATAGGGATTGTTTGGTGCTTTGAATTTCTTATTAGGCTTTCAAAATATCCAGGTAAAATAATAATATACTAAGGCATGTGCTGGGCTAATGCAAGGTCACTGCTCATCTTTCTTATATAGATTTCCGAAGCCCAGAAGTCCCTGGAGAAACTTCAGGAAGTTATCAGTGTGCATTCTGTAGAGCTTTCAGAGGTAAAGCATTTCCTGCATCTTTTCAACTTTCATGCATATAAGTTCTTGTACTGGGAAAACTCATGTCCAAGGTCTAATAGCAGCTGCTAGCTTACCAGGTTCCAGGTTGTGTCGTGCATGTATAGCCATGTATGTTACTCAGTAATAGATAGCTCTTACTTCATTGTATCTGACTTTCTCTTTTTTGTTTGTTTGCTTTTGTTTAATACATAGGTGCAGATCGCCCTCAATGAAGCTAAGCTAAGCGAAGAAAAGGTGAAATCTGAACTTCATCATGTGCAAGAAGAAAATGCTAGGCTGAAAAAGAGCAAAGAGCAGGTAGGTTATTCCCAGGCCAGGCAACTTTGTTTCTGCTTGGAATTAAATGCTGTGACATGTTTCCAAATTTCCTTGAGTATGACTTCAGTCAGGAGTCATGGGTCTAAATCTTTCTCTGTCCCTTACAGGTCAGGATTTCATATTTTATAGTATTATGATAAAACTTAAAACAACTTGTTTTAACAGTTTTTTTTTTTTGTGTGTGTGTGTGTGTGTGTGTGCAAATGAGCCATGTGTTTCCATTATGGTGATGGCTTTGCCGTTCCAGTGATTTAGGTTTTATCAGCAACTTCAAAAACTCTGCATTGATGTGATGGTTCCTATGATCAGGAGATGCCATTTGGGGATAAGACCGAAGGAAGTCACACTAAAGAATTGCCAAGAAGCAGTTCTGAAGCTTAGATAGATAGACAGGCCCTTTAGCTTTGAAATGTTATGGCTGTCTTTCTATAGATTAATTGTAAATATCTCTGTTCTCTTTCTCTGTGTATGAAGTAATAGTCATTTTAAGGAATGTGGTTCGATTGCCACTGAATTGCAGTTAATTCGTTTTGCTTTTGAAGCATGCAAGCAGATTGGTTCTAATGTTGGAATATCAAATGAAAAAACATCGAATTTGTAGAAGTGCCTAGTAATAAAAATTGCTGAAATATTTCCAACATGCAATTCTACTAGTAGACTAGTGATGAATGTGATAGTTGTGAAGCTTACCCTTTTTCTGTGTCCTTTGGTAATCAGTTACTACCAGAGTGGTAGTAGAATACTTGAATTTCCTCTGTCCTGAATTTAAAAAACAAGCAAAAAAATCATCTTGCCTTGGTTCTTACAGCTACTGAAAGAAGCTGAAGGTTGGAGTGAAAGACATAGTGAGCTCAGTGAGCAAATTAAATTGTATCAGAAGTCTCAGAAAGACATAGAAGAAGCTCTTGCCTACAAGGAAAACGAAATTGAAGTAAGTTCTTTTAAGCAAGCTTTGAATATTGCACCCTGTAAAATAGTGTGGGATACTTTGCTGAATGCAGAGCAGTTCTTGAGTGATGGTTTGATTTCTGTGTTAGGTTTTAACGAACTGCATTATGCAGCTGAAGCAGCTTGACATTGCTCCCACCTCGGAGGCCACCAAGGATGGGGAAGGGCATGAATGGCCTCCGGGAGACGACCTGGCCAACGGGGAGTTACCAGGTACAGCTGGTGCTGCTGGCTATGAAATGCATACAGTAGATAAAGTATATAAGCAAGGTGCTATGTTCATGATGTGTCATGGGAAGCAGGGAGAATCCATGCACGTGGCTGCTTGTGAGTTGACACTGATAGGTTAAATCCTCAAACAAAATACCTTCCAAGAAAAAAATGGCTAAAAGACTTATAGTTGCTTTTTGAACAGTGTTTAGGTGTGTTGTGAGAGTAATGACCGACCTATAAAACAAAGGACATCAAGATCAGCAATTAAGACCACTGCAAAATATAAGAATCTCAGTTTTGTTGTTGTGCTAGGTTTGGCTTTTGTACAAGTATTACGGGAACCTTAGCATGTAAAATGACTTTGATAATCACATTTTATTAAGTCTGAAAGACTGAAATAGAAGTTGTCAAACTATTTAGAAAAACTAGAATCTTTGCTGTTATTCATAATTACTGTATCTCTGTTTTTGAAATTTTTTTTTCTTTTAATGTTGTGTTAGCTGTGGGCTGTAAATTCCCAGTTCTTGATTTTTCAAATGCCCTTTCCAATATGGGATACTACATCCATATGTATATTAGTATGGTGGCTAGAAGAGGTCACCATAAAAATAACTTTCTGAACACCTTTTTGAATAAATATTCTAGTTCTGTTGTGCTGGTTGCTGAATTGCAATATCAGATAATTACTACTTAGTGCCACTGCGGCGCTCTCTGCTTTCTGTCAACATGTTAAACAACCTATCCCCATTTAAAAAGTAGAAAATGTTGTTCTAACATGTTCTAACTCCAGGAAATTGGAGTTAAGAAACAGAAGGGAAAACTAAACTTTTTTCTTTCTTTTCCTTAGATAATGACAGTGAAAAGATGAAGACTCAGATTAAGCAGATGATGGATGTCTCAAGGGTATGCTGCACAAGATATCTAATGAATACACCCCCATCACTGCTGTACCTGTGATAATACATTTCTTGCTCCCCTTTTTCAGGTAAAAACTATGTTATCCATAGTAGAAGAAGACAGAGATCTTCTGCGGTCCAAACTGAGTGATGAAGTAACAGCAAGGCATGAGCTGGAAGGTAGCCTTAGCAAAACAATTGCTTGCTGTAAAACTCTGTCATTTAGAAAGAAACATGAGAGGAGTTAAGCAGCACAGTGGTTCTTATAGCAGCTCCCTTTAGCTTCCTCACCTACCCGTGTTTCTCCAACAGAGCAAATAAAGAAGCTGGAACACGACTCCTGTTCACTGCAGTCTGCCAAAGCTCGCCTGGAAAACGAATGCAAAACGTTACAGCAGAAAGTGGAGATTCTCAATGAGCTTTACCAGCAGAAAGAGATGGCGCTGCAGAAGTGAGTGTTTCCTTGCTGTCCTGCAGGAGCCTCTTGCAGGGCACGTGCTGCTTGAGGGCTCTTTGCTCAGTAGACACCGGTGACAAGTTGYATTGAATCAGTGGTGATGGCTGCTGCTTCGGTAGGGTTGAAGCTAGGCCCCAATTTTTCACTTTTTTCTTTCCTCCCATTCCACACATTCTCAAAACCTCATCTTTTTTTCTACTAGCAATATTCACTCTAGCATAAAAACYTTTTTTTGGAGGGAAACAGATGAAACTTGAGACTTTTGTCCAGGTAGCTTGGTCTAAAAACAGTGGTTGGTCTGATATCTTCAGAAATGACAACAGAGCAGCAGTCAGAAGCTCTGAGGCTCAAGTGTGTGATGGGCCAAAGCACGTAGAGCTAACAAAGGCAGGGAGGCTCAACACAGTAAACACATAATAGAGGGGGGTGAATGATGAAAAACTCTCATGAAAAACTAACCTAAAGACTTGCATTCTTTCCAAAACTTTTAGGAAGGTACATTGTCTTTTGCTACCTCTTGATTTGAATGAAAGACTTCCTGTAGATTTGTTATGGCCAACTGTTTCCATGTGTACTTACGGAAACAGATAGTGTTGAATTGTTTATTAGCAATAATTAACATATTARTTTAAGGGTTCCATTTTTATTGGTTAGCTAGTGGAAGATACAAACATGTTATTGGTCTCTTAAAAGCTACTAGATAAAAAATGTCAAAAGGGCAAGTATTCATGAACCATAGAGTTAAAAAGGTTTTGTGTCTATATGTGTGCATACGTGTGTGTATGTATACGTATACACACTCATAYGTGCACCCTTTTTTTTTTTCCTCCATATAGAAAACTGACGCAGGAAGAGTACGAGCGCCAGGAGAAGGAGCAGAAATTGTCTGCTGCAGATGAAAAAGCAGTGCTGGCCATTGAAGAAGTGAAAGTTTACAAGTAACTTCAGTTTCTGAAGGCTGTTTTTCTTGATTTCAGCTGCTAAAGAAAATTCTTTTAAGCAAGCCCCTTTTCCCTCTTTCTTGGCAGGCAAAGGATTCAAGATATGGAAGAAGAATTGCAGAAAACAGAGAGATCTTACAAAAATCAGGTGAATTTCCTGCTTCCTTGTTACTCTCTCACAATTCATTCTGATGCTCTGTAACGCGCTGTTGGCAATATTGGTTTTTTGAAAAACTAAGCTATTAAACTTAACTTTCTTCTCAGATTGCTGCTCATGAGAAAAAGGCACATGACAACTGGGTAAGACTGTTTTTCTGACCATGTAAAGCAAACACTTTGCATTTAGCTTCAGGTTGCTGCAGTAATGCAGTTGGCAATATTTTCCCCTCCTAGCTTATTGCCCGCTCTGCTGAGAGAGCTTTGGCTGAAGAAAAGAGAGAAGCAGCCAACCTGAGGCAGAAGTAAGTACAGGACAGATCATTCCTTGCTTTCTGAACGTGCTCTGGGCTGCTGAAGAGAGAAGAAGCTGGAACTCTGCAAGTGCTCGTTAGCCTAGAATGGGCCATGTACCTCCGAGCTGTTATTTTTAAACTAGCTAAGCTCTTTTAATGATGTAGATGCACTTTCTTGGGGAAACTCTTCATGTTTCCCAATGCAGCTTGCTTCATTGCTTCAGATGCTTCAGATAGCCTTGCATCATAACAACTTGCATATATATATTTTTTTAATTACTAGATTAATAGAAGTGAACCAAAAAATTGTCATGCTTCAAAGACCATTAATTGTCAAGCCAACTCCAGGCAGACCTGATCGTCAAATCCCTCCACGAAGAGGTAAACACTGCTGTTTTTCCCCAAAACTTTGGTTTTTGAGCCTGTTTAGAGAAGCAAATTGAACACTTTTCTTTTTGTGTAGGGCCCTTAAGCCGAGATGGCTCCTACGGCCCATCACCTGTGAGTGGAGGAAATCCTTCCCCCACGCAGATGMTTGAAGTTCCTGGTCGTCCCCTTTCTGCTCCTCGAAGAGAAGGATCAAGAGGTGAATTYGGTAAGCAGGGAAGCTCCCTTTCTGTCACAAGTATTTCTCATGCTAAAATCCCGAGAAGACCAAGCTCTGGTCTGATTCCAGGGGTAGTGTATGTATTGAGGCCTGCTTTATTCTAAACATGGTTTTAAAAAAACATATTGTTATTTTTTAATAGAAATAGTTCAGGCATGTGTTGATTARGCTCTGTGGGGTTTTTGTGTCCCTCAAGGTGCAGTGGTTGATGGCCCAGCTGTTCCACGGAGACCCCCAGAGCTAGCTGGAAGAATGTCTGTTCCTGGTAAGYCCTGCAGCCAAGTTGCAGCCCACTGCAACGCACGCGGCTGCTCTTGCCCTTCAGAAAGGTGCTTTGGGAAACCACCTTCCTTCTGCCCAAAGTGGGGCAGGGCAGGTGACTGCGGCTCTCTTTGCAGACCTGGGGCCTGCGGTAGCATCCCTGATCAGTCCTGCACCAAGGACCTCCTCCCCTTCTGCAGGAATGGACGGAGTGGTAAGCTGCATACATAGACTCCAGGAAGCATTTCTAGTACACATTTTTTTTATTCCTGCTGCTTCTTTAACTGTATCATGTTCTGTCTTGTCTATACCCCATCACTATCCTTATTTGCTGTCAAAAAAAAAATATATAAGCAGCCCTCTCCCAAAGAGTCTGAAGCCCCCTGTGTAACTACAGATTCATCTTCACCTATTGAAGCAGCTACAGTGAGTACTCAGAGGCTGAACATGGTGTCATTCTGCTTTGGTGGAGAGAAGTAACAGGCTTGGTGTTCTGAACTGCTAAATAACAAAACGCTCTGCAAAACTAATCAAGGGCTTACACCTCTGTCTCAAAGATGTCCGTAATGGTCAACAGTTGCTGTCTCATTTTCATGGAACTGAGAAAATGAGATCTTTTGTGTTAAGGACCGCAGACAAACACTTCACTTTGGAGTGACTACAGCAGTAATCCTGAGAAGCTTAAATACCTGTGGTATTTAAGCACTATTCTGTATGYAACACAAAGAACCAGGCCCTTTACCTTGGGAGCACTGCTGGCTCTTTTAGGTGCTGAGGCCCGAAGTGGGGTGTCAAGGGCACTTTAAAGGGAGCAAAATCTGTTCTTCCAAAACTGTCCTCCTGGAAGATGCTGCAAGTATTCACTCCTGGGCAGTGCCAGCACCATTCTGTGCAAAGGGGCCATGAAGGTGCAGGGACTCTTCCTCTTTCCCACTTGGTTAATACAATTTTTTATTTTTTCTTCCATCTCTTGGCACGGGGGTGAGTGATTGTGGTGTTCAGCACTGTCAATATTTCTCTGATGCAGCAAGTCACACTGAAGGATTAACTTAACCTTGTACAGGCTACTCTGGGTCCAAAAGGCCCCCCGTCTTTCCCTGGGACACCCATCATGACGTCCCCCGTGCTGGGACCTCCACCTCCGCTTCGATACGGACCTCCACCGGCTCCTCTCCGCGGACACTTTGGACCCCGACCTCTTCCTGGGCCCCTAGGTACAGTTGTCCGTCGTGGTGCTGAAACTGCTCTCCCTGTGTGTGCCCTGAAGGGCCCTGCAGAGCTGCACCTGCTTCCCCGGGCACGCGGCACCCTGCACTGCACAAGGGTTTTTCCAAGCCTCCTTGATTTCTAGCTATTTCTCCCTAAATCTAACCTGGAACCCTGCTGCCAAAAGGCACTAGATTATATGTGACCATGACCAGTGAGGGCTGCATAAGATAGTGACCCAGCCCAGAGGTSCTCCAGTAAACTGCACATGAGGAACAAAATTGGGAGCTTAATAGGTCTAGCTGGGAGCCACAGTTCCGTTAACTCAGTGTCTTCCTTTCCTTCTAGTTCGTGGCCCTCCGTTGCCACCTCCGGCCGTACGAGACTTCCTGCCTGGTCCCCCCTTAGGAATGAGAGACCTGCCTCCCGGCCCGCTACCGCCGCCGGACCCCAGAGCCTATGGCCGGGGGCACCCCCCGTTCCCCGCCATGGGGCCGCACGGCCCCAGGGAGTATCCAAGAGAGGGTCCCCCGGGCCCACGGCTGCCCCCACCCGGCTCCAGGGACTATCCCCCGCTTCATCCCCGGGACTCGGCTCCTCCGGCACCCAGGGACTTCCCGGCAAACCCTCCTCCTCCTCCTGCAGCAGCTGCCAGCACCAAGGACTGCACACAGGCTCCAGCACCCAAACCTTAACTGCGGGGCTCTGGGACAGGCCCAGCGCGCTTCCTGCAGGCAGAACGCCGGGAAAACGCTGCTCCTCTCACGGAAGCAGTTTGTCCCAGTTCAGTCTCTTTCAGCTTTTGCAGGGTTAATTTTTATCCGATCGCTACAGACATCTTATGTGCATTTATGATCACCTGAAGCTCATCCATCCTCTTGGGCTGCAAGAAACTTTCTTGTGATGGACTTGAACCTAAGTGCAATAGAAAGGAAGTACCTGTGTGGCTAGTTTTAATTAAATGTAGCCTATGTAACCAGTTGGGGGAATGAACTAATTTCGTGAAAAATGTAATTCAAATCATTTCCTGTGGAAATAATTTTTAAGTAAAATGCTATCTTACCTGCCTTCTCCATCACATCATTCAGCTGCAGTTATTGTAGACCAGGGGTTTACCTGAGGGGTCTAAGGACTTTTTTTAAATATGTCTGGTCAGAGTTCAGAAGCACAACTGATACTGTATTCAAAGGAAAGTTATAATAAAAAGCAAAATTCCTTTTGCTAAACCCTCAAGCCTTTGTTCCAGTGCCCTTTTTTTAAATTTATCTGTTCAGAAATACAGTGCTGCAGCCACCTAATCAAGGCCTGAGCGCCCTGGTAAGGCTAAGGCCGGAGCCGAGGCTGCGTAAGGGCAGAGGCTGGAGGCTGCTGAGCACAGTCCSTGACACTGAACTGCCCTTGCCTGGTGCTCCGCCTGTGGGAGCGCAACCTTCCCACGAGAGGGGGCTGCAGCAGCCTATTAAAGCCAGGATTGAGAACCGAGTTTAAATCCTTCTGTTTGAGAACAGTTCAGCTTCCCTGATACTAAGTTCTGGAGCGTGGTTTTTTTTTTTTTTTTTTTTTTTTTTTTTTTTTTTTCCTCCTCCCTCCTCCAGCAGAGTGGTTTTAAGCAAAGGATATTAACCTAGACATTGCTTCAGCTGAGTTTATATTCAGGGAACACAGGCTAGCTGTAGAAACACACTGTGCACCTGCCACTGTTCACAGCCATCCCTTTGGCAGTCAAGACATATGTAACATTGAGTGTTGATCGCCAATTATTCAGACACGAAGCCATTTGTACAATACTATGTCCAGAAACACCTGCGAGAAAAGGGTGAAGGAAAAAACGTTAGAAATAATAATAAAATCTAATGAAAGGCCATAATAGCTTTACTGCCAGAGTACAAGCAGCCATTAAACTTGTCACGGAGATGTTACATTCTTACAGTACAAGTAGTAGGCTTTAGAATTAAGATGAAAGACAAGGTAGAACATCACTAAAGCATAAAACAATACATGGAGCTTGTGGGTGGTGGAGTAGTAGTCCTTTCCATGAAGACCATTTTACAGAAAAAAAAAATGCGAAGGAGAGAAGCAACTTTAAAAATGGTATTTCACACTCTACAAACATTAATTCACAATTCGTTAAATACAAAGCTCTACTTGTGTATTTAACAAAAATACTTCAAAGTTGACGTGGCCTATAATGGCATTAACACAGATGTCTACAAGCTAGGGAAGAGTCATGGTCAGGAGCTGAAACAGAGGGGTTGTAATTCAAGTGAAAATGCTCAACTTGAACAGGGGCTGGTTGCGAACACACCGAATGCAGCCTGTGAGTCAGAGTCTCCTAGTTCAGCATCTTTGCTTCCCCACCCTGAAGTCTGACATTATTTGATGCCTCTTTCCTCGCTTGCTGCAGGTGGCTCTGACCCAAGGCGCTTGGTCAYGAGCACGACCGAGCTCAGTGCTTTCCTGGGCAGTAAGTGACGCTAAGAGAAACACGGGGTGGCAGAGCAGAGTCACGGGCAGAGCAAGGCGCCGCACGGCCTGGAGCCACCCACCTGCGGGTAGAAAGAGGCCTGAGCCACCAGGGGCCATCGGCAAATCAAAYAGCGAGTGACCAAACTGGCATTTGCTCACAAACACAGAAGTTAAACTAATGCTTTGCTCCACCCAGATTTATCCAGAAGTTGGCTGGATTTTTTTTTTGCATGCACCTTCCTGCACATGGTATCTGGCATGCCGGAATCAGAGCTATTTCCATAACTCATGAGGAGATGGTTGGGATGGATAATCTGATGTATCGGATATAATACCCCTGGAGGGGGCATCTTTCACGACCTGTTAACAGGAAAATAAAATCGTATTTCTGCATTTTTTTCTTTCAACCATTCCTGGAATTCACCTAATTGTTAATTTTTTTTTNTTTTTTTTTTTTTTTTTTGTCACAATAATTAAATAACTGCATTCAGTAAGGAAAGTCCATGTCCTCAGTTATGCCAGAACAGAGGAAGAAGAATAAGGAGATTCAGGAACAGCGTTTTATCCTAATCAATATGCTAGAACAAGAAGAGCTCTGAGCACCTCCTGCTGAACAGGGCACAAGAAGTAACATCCTTTTTATTAAAGCATTCTGCAACATCCTGATGTTACATGACAGWGAGGATAACTTAGTAAGGCATCTTAACCCAGATTGTTTATGAAAAACCCCTAACATTTGATACTGTTTTGGGTGCTGTGAATTTTGTTAGCGTAGCAGAATATTTAGGCACTAGATAGATATGCAAGAATTATATCAAACTTTAAAGTACTGTATTAAATATCCACTCAAATACATGAAAGATTTGACTGGGTTCTACTTCTGTCCCTTTATTAGGTCAAAAAGTGAGGGAAATTGTGTTATAATAAGCCAATGTCCTGCAGCCTATTACACACTGAATCAATAATATAGAAAATAGAGGATAATACTATCTACTTACATAAAAAGGTAATTTTAGAGTAAGTTTCCAGACTTGCACAAAATATGCAGAAACCTGCATACAATCAGTTTCCATTAAAAACAGCAGTTTCATGTAAAATATGAGTCAACCTGCTAGCCAGATCTATGCTGTTAAAAGCTCTGGAAAATTGACACTGGTGAACACTAAGGGGCTGCTCCCGCTGTCATCAGAAGGGTAAAATTCCCTATGATGATGAGCACAGGGCTCTCAAGGAAGCCTCTCTTCTCCCTCCAACCATCTTTGCAGCTTGTTCTGTGACAAGCTATAGGAAAAAAAAAGAAAAAGTAATTAAAAAAAAAAAAGCAAAATAAAAACCAAATCCAAACAACTCTACCTGGGAGTAACTGAGATTTAAAGGTTTTGTAATAGGTACTTTTTGTGACACTTGTTAAGAGCGGACTGGGCAAGCCTAAGAGCTGAGATGTAGCTGTTAAGACCACAGCTTGGTCTCCTCATCTGCAGTCATCTCCTCCTCCTCCTCACCAGCGCGAGGAAGAGCAGCGGACAGACGGGCTCAGCTCGTCCCCCAGCCTTGACCCCGCATCCTCCCTGCCCTCCTCCTACGTCCCTCGCGACACCACGAGCTCYTTCCCAGCCCACCTTGTCCTTTCCCTGTTTTCTGCCAGCCAGCCCTTCTCCGAGGACGCTGACGTGCAGATGAGAGGAGCTACAAGAGCAGAGCAAGGTGACGACCARGAGAGCAGGCCTGACGCATCTTCATTGCTACAGGTCTGGCAAAAGGGCAGGCCCCGACCGTCACTGGAGGTCAAGGCGAAGGAGAATAATGGCTAAGGTTAAAAAAACAAAACAACACAAAACAAACAAACAAACTGCAAAATTAGGAAAAGCAGTCAAAACGTCTCAGGGCTCTCAGAAAAAAAGAACTGTATCCGGAAGGTTCTAGAAGGAAATGGTGCACGTGGATGGCGGGCTGGCCTCGGGCGCCGCTGCGCACTGAGGCGCTCCCACGTGACCCACGGCCATGAATACGCTCGGGTCCCTGCCCCTCGGGGCCTGAGGCTACGACACAGCTCCCGTGCCTTGCGGGGCGGCTCGCAGAAGCCTCTCAAATAAGGTCATTCCTTGTGCAGTGTTTGATGGAGGTGTAGGTAAAGTGGTTTCTTGGTCAACAGTTGCAATTTCTTCCTCTTAAAGTCAGTGGGTTTTTTGTACCTGCAACCACAAGAAAGTTAATGCTAAGGATTATYGTAGGAAAATGAAAGTAGGTTATAAAATGTGTCCTGTCCAGATCCTATTGCCATAATCTTTTAAATATATTCATCAGGATTGACTGAACTGAACAATAATTAATAAATTTACATGAAGAAACTCTAGATGGTATTTTCTCAGGACTATTACTTTAGCAAAACATATATTTCAATGTTTAAATATACATAAGCTTCATGTAAGGAAAATTCCAAATATAATCCTGKGGTTTCTGGGGAATACAGCAGCAGTTGATTCAGTACGTCACAAGTACTGCAGCCACTGGAGACTTTTGTTAAAYACTTCTTCAAGCTGCTCTGAGTTGCAGGTTCCCCTTCCTCCTCAAAAAAGAGGGCTCCTCCAGAGACCTCTCTGGACTCTCCCTCAGCCACCCAGCAAGGACAGGCCGCCCGTCGCAAACGCGGCAGCRCAACAGGCCAAGCTCTCTCCCTGCCTGCTTAGGGCAAAAAAGACAATGCTTTGAAATGTTTATAAAAATGCAATTTTAAATCAATATTGAACCTCTCAAATCACATTTCCCTTAAAGAAGTTCTATACTAAAAAAATAGGAAACTCTCATGAATTTCACATAGTTGATCTGTTGCTCAAACTTACGTCAAAATGAAAGACTGCAACAGGGAATCTGTTAACTTCATTCAGTAACAGACCCCAGCTTTTCATTTGAAAATGAAAAATTTCATTGTTGACAAAGGTCAAGAAAGTCATTTTATTTCTCTAAAAGCTTATCCTCTTCCATTCTCATCAGAAGTAGAATACTACTTATGGAAGTCACTCCAAGGAGTCCACAAAAACCTTCCTCAATGCAGCCAACAACACACTGCAACTCAAGTCTAGTTCCTTCTCTCCATAGCTTTGGCCACAGACATCGCTGACCACAAGTCACTTACAGTTCTATAACAATTGCCCCAGGTTTAATTTCATCCATCTCCATGAAAGCAAAGCACTTGGTGCTAGTAAACCTCTTCTTAGGCTTGTAGTGTTTGAATTCAAAGAAAATAGCTGCACCTAGAATGCAAGTAATTTATTAGAAAGTTAGCAATTATGGGCAACAACTATCAGAAAACTTATCTGCCATTAACATGCTCTATGTACAAACAGGGTTTATCATCTCCAACAATTTCTTAATTTACTCTGAAGAGACACCATGTTCTTGTACAGCCGACACTTGTGCTCCCAATGCAGTTACTCACATATAGGTAACATTTTTCCCAATGCTTTGAGAGGGTCATAAAGCAACTCAATGTGTAACAGAGCAGACTGCTGCATTTTTATCTGTTTTCATTTCTCTTTTGGCTGCAAGTCATTCCAAGGACTGATCTGACAAAGGACATAAAGGTCTGGTTTTATCCACATCTGGATTTTGAGCCCTAAAATAGCAGCTCAAGCATGGCCTGTTTATTAGACCAGGAACAGTGTCTAGTGGCTACAATCTGGAAGCTCCCAGGCCCCATTCCCAGTATCTGACACCATGTACCTTTTGTTAGTTTTTCCACGTGTTTCTGGATCTCAATGTCCACATTAAAATGGACATATGTGTCCTCTTTCCTCAGAGCCACAGGAGTATCTTGCACAGGAGTCAGATCTATCCCATTCAAATCTGTAGGAAAGAAATACCATGGGAATTGCAAGAGCTTCTCAGACTTTAAAGTCTTGCTTTCTTTATGAGATTTAAGAATAACTTCTAACACATCTGCAGAAAATTAAAGTCCATCTGGATTATTCCCTAGCTCATAAAGGGACAATCATAGCCCTCAGTTGAATCTTGTCATTTSACTTATAGTCAAAAGTAGAGAAGCYACGGTCCACGGTTTAAGAGGACATTTTGGAACTATCCCTCTTTTTCTTTCAGGAGGACCTTTCTTGCTGCTGCCAGCAAAGGATTCCATTCCCCCTGCAAGCAGGACTTGGGCAAAGCTTCACAATTGCCACCAATGAGCACTGCTGAGCTCCAAACTGTCACTGGACACACCGCTTGCAGGGAGCAGGAGAGGCCACCAAGGATGCACCTGCATAGAGCCTCACCCCAAGCCAGCAGTAGCACAGACCTGGGATAAGATGCCTGGGATAAGATGCCTGGGAAAGCCTGCTAAGCATCTTGGGACTTCCTTAGGACAGCCACAATGTTTTTCAGAGTCATTATTATTTACGGCTTACAAAAGCCTGTAACTTGGGCACCACCTGCTAGCAAACACTTTGGGGAAAGCAGGCCTAGCAGAGCACCGTCTCGCCCAGCTCCAGAAAGGAGCTGGAAGCTTGCTCTGAAGACAAGTGACAGTTTGGACAATACATAATTGCTAGGAAAGACAAACAAATCAGAGGAAAGGAGCATAGAAGGCCCCAGGCAAGTCTCAGGATTCAGTGTTACAGCCTCCTTAGCCTCCCTGTTCGCAAGGAGCAACTTGACAAGAAAGAATAAGAGGGCAAAGAGAGATCCAAAAGTGAMTAGAGAAATGGGAGCCTGAAGAATACCTTCATAATCTAAAAATAATGCTACAAAACTAAAGCAACATGGTAACTACTGTATTTTCCCCAGACTGAAAATAAGAAGGGCAAATGTATCAGCTGGGGAGGGTGAGATCCACGTCTCAGCCTTCTCCCCTAGCCAGGTGAACAACTCAAAGCTGCAGAGTGAAGCAGAAGGTTTCACTGCTGAAAAACCAGCACAGGAAGCAGGATTAGATGAAACTTCCTGCCTACATATTAGTCAGGGGTGATATTTGAAGCATCACTGGGATTCAAGTGACACGGGATACTGTGATCCTCACCTCTGCTAAAGAACTYGTCTGGCAGAGAAAGCAGCCTCATCACACGTCTAACAAACACTTTATCCCTTCATCTAGCACATCTAGAGGGAATATCCCATTGGCCTTCTTGGCCATGAGGGCACTGCTGACTCATGGTTAACTTGCAATACTTCACTGCCACAGCTGAATTGTTCTCTGTTTTTTTTTCCACTTGCAAGCATCACTTCCTCCTTTATAAACGAAGCCAATGGTGGGTGGTTTCCTGTCTCAAGAAAGCCCAAAGTTTCATATGTGCTGGGGAGTACCAGCAATCCAAAGGGACCTGCTCTTCACAGTCAAATTAAGGATACGGGACTGAGAAGTACAGTCTGCCAAGTCACTGATACTCAGCTCCCAGCCTGGGGAAAACAAGTCCCACACCAGCAGTGAGCAACAAGGAGGGTCATCATCTTCAGCTCTCAAACAAAGAATCTTCCTACCCTTGATTAAAAGAAAAGCTGTAAGTCCACAATGGAAGATGCAAGCATCAAAAAGATGCAACAAATATTCTTCCCTTAGGTTTAAAGAACTATACAGTTTTCAGAAAACATACTTTTTCCGTTCCAGGAACAGAAATCATTACCCTTTACACTGACTGTGATGTAAGGATCAATGCACTGCCCAGCATCTTTCAGACCAATTTTCTCTATGTTGATGGTGAGTAATGTCATCCCGGGTTCAGATGGCAATCTGGGCAGCAAAGTACCTGGAAAGAGTAAAGCACACTATTAACCATTTTAAGTAATCAGGCAGTAGAGGCCTTGCTTATTCCATCTACTGTTTATTGTCTTTCATGGAAGCTGCTGTTCTCCAGAGAAGGTCCAAAGCCCATGGATTCCTACCCTGATAGTACAAGGCATTCGGGGAAAATCTGTGTGCACAGACACACAGTATCATTTTACGGACTTACAAACCCACACCAAGAACTGCTCCCAGACTGCCTCAAGTTAAATAAATCCATGAACAACTGCCATGTCCTAACAACAGAGTGGAATTTGTCTTAAAGTGTTCTTTTTTGCTCTCATGCAAAATAACTCATGCATGGAATTCAATATACATCATTTTTAAGAATAAAACTTAAAAAATGGATTCACTGGATTCACTCTGCATCTGCAGGAAGTTCAGACACTTGATCAGGAACACCGACCCCCTGAACATGATTTGGCCTCACATTGAGTGTTTAGCCTGGAAGAATGAGGAGGAAAACGGCACCGCTGCAAAATCCCACTGGACAAAAGGAAACCAGAAGAGATCCTCCTAATTATCTAAATTCCATTGGCAGGGGCTTAAAGGAAGTGGGGAAAAATAGTTTTTGCATCTCTTTTGCTTTAAGGAGAGAATTATTAGTCCTGTATGAAGAAAATTAACACTGGGTATCTTTGTGGTCACAAGCTGATGTCATGGTAGGTGAATCTTTGAAGTACTACGGAAAAGCRCAACTGGCAAGAAATTCCTATTCTACAAACTCACCAAAAGCCAGGGGATTCTGTAACTAGCAATGGGATAGTGTCTTCATGGTGGATTTAGAAGACGTTGGCAGACTTGATTAAAGTCCGTCTCTGGTGTTAGGTGAACAGGCACCCAAACAGAAAATGCTTGGACTCATGAGCAAGTTGCATTTGAAGTTTAGATTTCATAACTAATAAGAAGAAAAAAATCCTAAGGTTTCGAGATCTAACCAAAGTAATAGTGTCTTTCAGTAAGTCCAAAAGGAGTTTTCCTTTTTCCTTCACCATTCTTTTCCCTTGATGTTCTTGAAGGGCTGGAGAAGGACTTCACAATGATTTCGTGAGCACAGCCCTGCTCAGTCCCCCCAGCTCCTAGCATCATCAGGAAGACTTAAAACCACACCTATCACCACACCTATCAGACAGTACATGTTATCCCTGTCCTAGTTACTATACATGGCCTTCTGGTACCACATCTACAGACACTTCTAAACCTCTTCTGGCAGAATTTGACCTGCTCTTCTGCAGTAACAGGACAGACAACTAACCATAAAGTGAGAAATGCTAAAATAAAATGATTACAGGATATCTATTCCATCTATTTATTGTGACCCTATGGCTGAGAAACTATGTGCTGCCAGCACAGCACTGGATAAAGGAGTAACCACCAGGAGATCTTCGCTGTTAGTGGCAGCATGCCACTGGAACAGCTCAACTTGGCACAATTTTATGACCAAAATCACAAGTACATGAGGACATTTAGTGAAAGATGTCCCATCAAATATGCACACCACTAAAGCAAAGCTAGCTATGCCTACCTTTGACAATACTGCAACTCAGCTTGTCTTTATTAACACAAGACTTCTACAGAGCTATATAAGACAGATCACCAAATACAACCTTCCCTTTTTCTGAGACAGGAGGCAAAAATATCAACAAATGGATGTGAAGTTCTTTGACTGCTACCCAAGTAAAACTGGTAAGATTGAAAGATTGAAAGATTGAAGATTGAAATTAAGAGCTAAATGAAGGATGTCACAGCTACACGGACATGATCAAAGAAATTACAGTATGTATTAAAAGGTCATCATACCTTCATTGGCTCCTGAGTTAGATGAATGGTGCAAAGTGATAATGATGATGAAGCCATTCATGGAGAAGACAAGATGATGGTCAGTTAGACAATACAGTTACATACTGTGGGCTAAAGGTAAAGAGAAAATCTCCCAGAAATTTGCATCTCTCTCTTCCTCAACTCTGGCTGCCTAGAGTTGTCAGCATCACACAGCAGAGGCAGGATTTAATGCTAAATTCCACATAAGAAAATCTAAAAGTGTGCACACTAGCATAACTAGAGGTAAATACACAGATAGTCAGAAGAAGCCCAAATGAAATCTCCAACAGATGAAAAGCTCCGTCAGGACAGACAGAACGCATCTTCACACAGACATTCACCATGACAGATTAGAAACATAGGGATAGTAGTAATGAAATACCACAATGTATTATAGCCCATTAATGACTTTACTGGAAGCAACTGTGGATTTTCCATGTGTGCATCAGTGCAACTGAAAAAAACTTCCACTGAAAAGTACTGGTTTTACTTGGAAAAAATTTCAAGAGTTGAAGCTAGGAGATGACATTCTACAGAATGAGCAGGTGCAATCATTTCTGCAAATGCTTCCATGTGGACAACAGTTGAGCTAGGAAAAGTAGTGCTACCCATCTTGATCCTTACCCAGGAGKGCTATACTCCAAGCTGTTTTCTCACCAGATAATGGAACACAAAATTGAAAAGCACCAACAAAATGCATTCCCAGCATGAGGTAATGCTACTTTCAGTGGTAAACAATGCCACAGTTTACATGTGAAAGCATTTGAAACAGTTCCATGACGCAAATAAAGTGCATAGAACAAGAAAAGAAATAAGCACAAACTAGTTCAAATAGATGGCATAATCATGTAGAAGATGTAATTTGAAAACCAAAATGTCTTACTGAGGAATTAAAAGAAACAGCTTTAGAATTTCCCAATAAAGCATTAAAGTTTCCAGAGGCATCATGATCCTCACCCACACAGACAAAATAGAAAAAAAGCAGGACAGAAATTGGGGGAACCCTGCAGATCTACAGCAACGAACTTTCGAAAGCACTTTATTTTAGACACATGCAAAAACCTATCTTCTAAAATTCTATTTATAAAATGAAGCAATACACAAGGTACATAGGTGCTGAAATGAAAAAAAGTCGGAAGAACCATGCTGAAGGAGGACATGTTTGCCGGGCCAGTTCTAACACAAATCTACTCAGGGCTACTCACATCTCCGGCTAAACACAGATGCGAATGAATGTAATCATGCAACTAACGGTTTACGGAGAGTGTGAGAACAACAAGACAACTGAAAGCCAAATGCAAAATTGCACATGGGAGAGATCTTGSGGAAGCCTCAGGTTTCCTTCGCCAAGCTCTTTGCAATGGCGCACTACCTGGGGCTCCTGTCCTTAACCAATCCCCGTACTCTAATCCTAAACATAGAAATCACCTCTGGCATAGAACGACCTTTAACAGATGAGGGGCGATGGGGGTTAAAAGGTAACACTATTCCTGGAAAAGATATTCACAGAGCCCCAGATTTCCTTTCCCAAAATCTTTGCAACATCGCTCTACTTGCGGTTTCTACCTTTACCCACCTCCCAACACTAACCCCACAAGTAATTTCCGGCATTGAAGGACCTTTCATACGGTAGGGCAACTGTGGTCAACAGTCAAAACTGCTCCTGCGAGGGATTTTGGTGGACTCCCAGCTTTCCGTTTCCCGAGCGCTTTCAAACGCTGCTCTACTTGGGCCTCCTGCCCTTATCCATCTCGAAACCCTAACCCTAGAAATCACCTCTGCCACTGAAAGACCTTTCATATGTTAGGGCCACTGCGGCTCAAAAACGCAAAACTGCTCCTGGAAGGGATCTTGGGGGACTTCCAGATTTCCGTTCCCAAGCGCTTTCAAAAGCCGCTCTACTTGGGGCTCCTATCCTTGTGCACGTGAAAACCCTAACCCTAGAAAACATTTCTGGCATTGAACGACCTTTAATATATTAAAGCCACTGGGGCTCAAAAGGAAAAACTACTCCTGGGAGGGATCTTGGTGGATTCCCAGCTTGCCTTCCCAAGCTCTCTCAAACGCCGCCCTACTTGGGGCTCCTGCCCTTATCCATCTCGAAACCCTAACCCTAACCCTAGAAATCACCTCTGCCATTGAACGACCTTTAATATCATAGGACCACTGGGGCTCGAAATGCAAAACTGCTCCTCGGAGGGATCTTGGTGGACTCCCAGATTTCCGTTCCCAAGCTCTTTCAAACGCCACCTAACTTGGG